GTTTGGGAAATATCTAAATCTCTCACCATCCACATCCCTCTTGAAGACTTCCAGTTTCTTTTCAAAAGCCTTTATGTAACCAAACATAACATCAAGTGTCTTGCCAGGTCCTTGTAATTTAACATTTAAGTCATTCAAATGTTCACAAAAATTGTAAATGGAAGATTATAAGAGGGGGTTTCATGTCCCAGCAAAAGTTACTGGCCTGCCATATTTGGCACCAGTGCCAGGGGTTGCCCACCCCTGGCCTAGGCTTAGAACTCATGTCTGCTACTCACTGAGTCTCAGCCTTAGTTTCCTCATCTGCAGATAGCAGTGCTGTCATTTCAGGGATGTTAGGAGAACTGACTGCAGGTAAAGCCCACCTGGGGTGGGGGGCGTGGCTGGCACATGGCGCATGTCCCACAGACTTTAACTGTCATCATTCCAGGAGCTGGTGCTGTAATGCCTGCCCTGTGCCTCTTGTCAGTCCTGTGTGTCACCAAGCAGGCCCCAGTGTAAGCCTCGAGGAGAACCTCACAGGCCTCACCCAGGCCAGCCCCAGGGCAGCCACATTCAGGCCCCCCCATAGCTACTTGATCAGGGTCTGTGAGGGGCCAGAGCTCCATGAATGGGCGCTGGCCATCCTGTTTGGGAGCTCTCATTCCTCTGACCCATCTGTGCTCCACCTGCCTGTAGACACAGCTAGAGCAGAACAAAGGCCCTTGCCCTTACAGAGTTGCCATTCTAGTGGGGGACAATCAGCAAAGAAAATGGGTAAGTGAAAAAGAGCACGTTAGCCGCAGCACTACGGCAGACAACCAAGCAGGGTGGTGGTGTGGGGTTGAGGGTGTGTGAAGGACATAGAAGGCTCCTCCAGGAAGGTGTTGCTGCCAAGTGGGCATTTTAGCAGAGACCTGGAGGAAGTGAAGGGAGCCATGCAGATTTCTGGACTGAGTTTTCCAGGATGATAGAATGTGTGCCAAGGCCCTGGATGGGGCAAGAGCTGGAGTGTGTGTTCCAGGAAGAGCAGGGAGGCCTGAGTGGCTGGAGGGGAGAGGGCAGGACAGGAGAGGGAATGCCTGAAATTAGTCTCCATCACCATTGCACTGACGCTTCCTTGAGCCCTTCAGGGCAAACCATGACAGAAAAAACACAAGATGGCGTAGCCAGAAAGGCTGACTTGGACTGGCCCAAGCCCTCCTGTCCTCTTTGGGGTGGGAGAGTTGGGGACATGTGTCAAGACTCTGGGGAGCAGCATCTCACCCTGATGTGTCCTTCCTCACACCCAGCAGAGCTGGAAGGGCCCACAGCGGGGGTCTGGGGACCTCAGGACTCATGACTACCTACAGGGCTGGATGGGCCAACCCCCAAGATCTCTTCTAACGTCTGGGACTCCAACAGTGGAGAGGGGTAGAGGATGTGAAAGGAAGACACAGGCATACTGTTCACTCGATCACCCCAAGATGCACACACCTCCAAGGCATGCGCACGCATGCTCACGCCAGCACATGTTTACAAGCAAGGTAGGCGGGCAGGCACCCGCCTCACAGCGCATCCCGTACTCAGATGTGAAAACAACAGTTTGCACCTGTATAGCACCTGCTCTCACCTTTATGTATGGAGCTCCACTGAGGCCTCACCTAGTCTGTGAGAAGTGCTGTCATTTTACACTGGGGGAAACTGAGGCACAAAAGGTTACAGAAGGTGCAATGTTACAAGAGAAGCTGCATCTGGACCGAGGCTGTTGGTCAGCATGTCCCTGCATGTGCAGTCACCAGACAGAGCTGCAGACGACCCCTTCCCCTCGACTCCCGGTTCTGTCCACTGCACAGCCCCAGGGCCCGGGCAGCTGCAGAGCTGTCAGCCCATGAGAGAGCAGTGGGCAAGCCAGGGCACCCTGTGGAATGTCCCTCCTGCAGCCCGACCACTGGAAGAAGGCCCCTGCCATGTTGGCACCTGGCCAGGTTTCTAGGGGCTAAGGGAGGCAGGTGTAGCCCCGCCAACCACCCACCTACCATGGCTGGGGGGGGGAATGAGGTGAGAGACACTTAGTTCCCACTTGGCAGCCTCTAAAGGTATGCATCTGGATGGCTCAGGCAGCTGCTGTGGCCGGCCTGCCAGCAGCCCCCAGTAATGGATGAGGCCTGAGTCCCAAAGGCAGCAGGGCGCTGACCCCAGCTGGGGGTCCTCTGTCTCAGCCCATTCATCAAGGTGACAGGTGGAGCCCAGGGGGACTGGAGGGTGGGCAAGTGTGGAGGAGGCTGCGCCACCAGCAGGCTCACACACAGGCGTCCTGAGGGGGACAGGGCTTGGGGTCGTTCTGTACCTGGTGTAGCTCTGTGGTCAGACCGTGGCTACCCTCCCCCAACCATGCCCTAAGCATGGCCAGTCCTAACCCCACCCTGGATGCCTGGTCTTTTTTCACCTATGCCCATGTCGGCTCTCCGCAGCCCAGTGGGCAGCGAGCGCCTTTTATTCCATCTTAGCAGGATGTTCTGCTGCCGTCCATCCTTCGCTTCTACATGGACTGAGAGTGGGATGAGGGGCAGGGAGATTGGAGACTTGCCCCAGTCCCGGCTCCCACAGCCACAGCCAGACAGCAGGTGTCCCCTCCCGGCAGAGTGGCAGCTGCTACACTGGCCGTAGACGTGGGTCCCACAGCCCCGGGGGTGCTTCCAGCCCCATCCTGTGCCTGCAAAATGCAGGAAGCAGAGCTCAGTGAGCGATGGGGTGCGGACTGGCATAGGATGACCATGCCAACCCCGACTGAGACCAGGGCTTTGTGTTCACACATGGTGAATGTGAAGTCCTCCCTGTCTCTTAAGCCACACCCAGAGCCCTTCTGTCATGGGACTGAGCACCCTCTGTTCCTAAAAGGGCTCTCTTCTCATTCACATGAGCCTGGCCCTGCCCCAGCTAACCCTGCTGTTGGTTAACCTGGACAGAGCTTGGGCCAGGCCCAGCAGCCCTCCACCGGAGTGGAAGGAGAGCACATGACCCTACAAGGAGGGTAAGCATCCACTTATAAAGAACAAAAATCAGCGGCAAAAGAAGGAAGGAAGCTCTGACACAGTCCACAGCATGGACAAGCAATGAATATGCCGAACGGCGTGTGGACGATTCCATGGACCTGAATCGCCCAGAACATGTAAATCCACGGGTAGAAAGCTCGTCTGTGGTGGCCGGGGCTGGGAGGTGGGGGGGACTGTGGGTGGGGAAGCATCTCTTTTTGGGGTGATAGAAGCGCTCTGGAACTAGGAGGTATGGGTGCCCAACACTGAATATGCTAGATGCCACGGAATCATGCACTTTTTAATGGTGATAACGGTGACTTTTATTTGATGTGCATTTTATCATAATTTTATAAAAAAGGAATGGTCAGGAGAACCCCCTGAGAGGGGCATGTGAGAGAGTCATGAATAAAGAAGAGCATTGGGCCATGTGAAGGAGGAGCATCTGGAAATAGCTGGTACCACAGCAGGAGCTGCCAGAATGTTCCAGAAGCAGCGAGGAGGTGGTGTGGAGGAAGGGGGCCCAGGGAGGCAGCAGGTGGAAGGAGCAATAGGAAGGCAAGGGTGAAAGGTTAGGAGGCCTCCAGGTGAGGCCCTTCCTTCTAGAACCTCCTCCAGCCTGGAGCCTGAGAAAACCCTACGGAGGAAGGCCAGTGGCCTAGAGGTCAGAGGTTGCCTCTGGGAGGCACCTCAGAGCCTAAGTGCCAACTGTGACCAGGAGCAGCTGGAGCTTGGGTGGGCATTGACTCTGCCAAAAATCAGCACTTCTTCAGGTCAGGACTTTCCCTGTGGTCACAGGGCCTCAGCTTCATGGGAGCATGCGCATCCTGGGGCCTTCTCCTTCTTGTCCATTTGGGGCACTTCAAGGGGTTTGGAGGCTAACTAAGGTCGTCAAGTCCTTAGCGTAATTGGTAAGAAAAAATGAATACCTGGGAAAGCAAAGCGATGCCTGAAGACAAGAGGCTTGTAAGAGGCTTCCACCACTCGGAGCCCATCGGTCCATCAGCCATGCCTTCCAGTCACAGCTGAGGGGCGGCCTTCTGGTGAGGCCATCTGGATCAGGCAAGTTGACTCGGAGTCACCTTAGACCCAGAGCCAACCTGGCCTTGGGGTTTCCAAATGGACCCCAGCCAGACGGCCCAGGCCAGACCCGAGAGGACCCCTCCTACCTGCCCTCTGGCTGTGTCGACATCCTGCCCTGGTGCCTGCCTCCCACCTGCCTCTGCGAGGATGTCGGTCACCTGCCAGGCTCATGGGAGACTTGGCAAGGGAACCTGCAAGCAGGGTTGTTTTTCCTGGATGATGAGAAGGCGGGAGGTGGGAAGTGTGTTGAATGGCCACTCCTGGGGTCACCCAGGCCACTGCTTCCGGCTCTACCTCCAGACACCCAGCCTGTGCTCAGAGCTGGGAAGGGTGAAGGTGGGGCCACGTGACAGCTGCATCTGCCCCCAACATTTCCCCGTGCCCCGAATCGGCCATTCTGCTCCAGGGACGTGGCAGGTGGTGGGCTCACCCACTGGGGCTGTCTAAGCAAAAGGGAGAGGGTGCTAATGGCTTTGAGAAGACACTGGCAGCATCCACCTGCTGCCTTATCAGCTGGAGTTCTGACCAAGGTCTCTTCCTGCATCTCCATGCTGACCTGAGATTGGCCTTGACCTCACGTCCACTTGGGACCCTACTCTGACCCCTCGAGTGGACTCTGTCGCTACCCTACAGCCAGGCTTGTGCATCCCAGTACCAGCACGTCTCCTCACAGCCGCGGGTCTAATCCCATCCTGGCTAGATTGTCAGCTCCAGGAGGCCAGGCCCCCCTCCGTCTAGTTGGCTGTTCAGCACGTGGCCTGGGGTGGACACGCCATAAATAAACATACCTCAGGGAAGGGACGGGAGCAGCAAAGCTGAGGCTGGGGGCTGGGCAGGGGGCCAGGAGGGCTGGGGCCAGGGTGGGCGGAAGGACCAGGCCGGCGACAAGGTGGACCCAATCAGGAGGCTCCGAAGTGCGACACGAGTGTGATGTTCTTACGTAAGAGGAGGGTGATGGGAGAGGAAGGGATGGGCTCGGGGCTGGGGTTTCCACTGATCGGCAGCCCGGCTCTCTGCCGCCGCCCGCTTCTGGGCTTTCTTGGCTGGGGCTGCTCCTGACAGAAGGGATGCATGTTGTCGGGGGCGGGGGGCTTGGCATGTGTGTGTGTGTGCATGTGTGAGTATGTGTGTGTGTGTTTAAAATACAAAAAAAAAAAAAGAAAAGAAGCGTGGCTACACCCAGCTGCAAGAGGCTGGCCGGGCTTCGTCCGTGCCAGTTGCCTCTGAGCTGGCACCGTGGGGACAGGAGGAGGGAGAGGTGAGGAGCCGCTGCGCGGGGAAGATGGACGCTTGCCATGGACGAGCAGCAGGCTGGGCGCCTCCTGGGTGCCGCGGACTCACGGGGGCAAAACTCACAAACAAAAACCACAGCGAATTGCTGGCAGCCCATCCTGGGGAGGCGGCAGCCGCTTGGCAGCGGAGCCACGGAGGACCCGGCTGGGAGCAGTTGGACAGTGGCGGCCGGCGAGACACAGGTAACAAATGAGTGGGGCTCACTGGGCAGGTGGCTGGGTCTCGGCCTGGGTGCAGGTGACATGGCACAGCTGCCTGTGGGGATGGCTGTGTCCAGCGGGGTTCTGGGCCAGCGGGTTCAATCCTTTCACCCCTGGCTCCCTGAGCACTGCCATGGGCGTAGGAGGTGGTCCACCACCCTGGGGCCTGTGTGTCCAGGTGTGGTGTCCAGGGGTCCTTCAGGTGGCACAGGTGCTATCCCTGCACAGAGGATTAGAGCAGGGCTGGCCGGCTGGGTACGGGTAGTGTCGGGGTGTAAGAGGACAGCAACCACATCCGGGGTCCCTGGCATGGCAGTGCCTCTGCCTCTGGTACTCAGGCCCCTCCCTCTGGGGCCTTGGGCTGAGTCCCCTCCACCCCATGCTCTGCTGGCTCTTAGGGCCAGGTCCTCGCGGCCCCGTTTTTGGAAGAGTGTCCCCAAACCGTCCTTGAATGTCTGTCTGTTTCTTCTCACGGGCCAACCCAGGGACTCAGTTGGGGATGGGAGGAGGGCTGGAGGGTGACACCTGGAGGGGCTGGGAGATCCCAGGAGAAGCATCTTACTTCCCTCCCTCCCATCTGCCCAGAGCCCTACAGCCTGGCTTGGCACCGCAGTGCCTGTGTGCAGGCTGGTGGGACCACAGCCAAACGTGGCCATCAGAGGGAGCGCAGGCGGCTGTGCCAAGGAGCCCAGCTGCCGAGGGCAGGGGGCGAGCTGCCCGGGAGGGGAGGAGCCGTGCCTGGGGGTCCCAAGGACAAAGCCCTGCTGGGCAGGAAGGGCCAAGGCGGTGGGAGAGGTTACGTGGACTTCTTACCCGGAGGAGGTGGTGGCAGGAGGACTCATGTGGAGTGCCCAGCTACTCCTCCATGGGGTGAGAGTGGGAGGAACCTCTGAGCACATGGGGCAAAGGGTACAGGGACACAGACCTTGGGCTTGGGGCACAGGACTGGGGGGGACACCGTTGCCACTCCAGGGACTCTGGGCTGGATGCTGTCCTGTGTGATATTCAGAGCAGCCAGCGTAGATCCAGAAAGAAGGAGGCACCAGGAGGCCTCGGGCACATGGCAGGAAAGGGCAGGGGGCCTGTGCCCCGGGCAGTGCCAGTCCCAGCTCTGCCAATAGGAAGGGACTTGGGCTGTGAGAGTGTGAAGGCCATGGGACCTAGCACTGGGAGGGCAGTGAGGAGCTTCCAAGGTCTGGGCTGGCTGCAGGGCAGCAATGTGGGGTGACCCGGCACTGAGGGGCCCAGGGAACACGGGATTGGAGTTAGGCAGGTGGGGATGGAACAAGAGGTGCATTGGGGATTCAGACAGGGCTCAGGCTCTGGCAGAGGACCAACCTCAACATTGTTTGGGCAGAGAGCAGGGGCCCTCAGTGATGGGCTTGATCAGCAGGGAATGGACACTTTTGGAGAGTGTGCCCAGGCCCAGCCTGGCAGCCCTGGAAGCTAGTGTGATGGCCCTGGGTGCTGGCCAGGAGCCGAGTCCAGGGTCTGCACACAACGGAACAACTTAAGGTCTCAGAGCCTCAGCTTGGTTGGCTGTGAGGAGGGAAGGCACCATTCAGCATGTAGGCTGGTTTGGATCAGGTGGGTCCTGTGGATCATGCCCTGGCACAGGTTTGCCCGGGTCTTTCCAGCCCCAGCCCCTAGGACTCTCCATCACCAGCTCTGACTCCCCCACTACCAGGGTAGGTGCTGCCCTGTCCCAGTGAACCCTGGTCTGAGCACCCATCGGGGGATTTCAGAGCCTGAGGGGCTGCGGACAGTGGTCCACTGTGCCTCCAGTGATGGGAGGCAGGAAACCCCCCAACCACAGCCCCATTCCACAGCCCAACGCCCATTAAGTCCAGGTGGCGTCCTCTGCCTCCTGAGCTGCCCCTGGTCCCAGTCTTGCCCCAGCCTGTGGCCTCATCTGGAAATTGAGACCCAGGATCCCGTCCCCTGAGCAGCTCTGACCTGGCCTCGGACCTGGGTGGGGAAAGCAGGCAGAAGGAGCCGTGCTGTGGGGGAACCAGGGAGCTGACCCATGATGTCCACCCCCTCAGCCTTGCCCAGAGTTGCCCCCACTGGCAGGCCTTTGTCCCCAGACTGGGGTGGGGGGTGGCCCAAGCCAGTGTGATGCCAGGCAGAGAGCTGTCCTCAGCGGCAGAGGCCAGTACCCCCTCGTACCACCTCCGAATTTCACAGCCCTGCTTCCTGCATGGGCTCCCAGCTCCCTGGAGAGTCCACCAGATGTTCCTCTGCCGCCACATTGCTTCCCTAATGAAATATTCATGAAGTCTTTCTGCCTCTTGGCAGAAAAGCCTCCGTGGCTTCCACACCTCCCAGAGGGTCCTGGGAATGACCATCCCCACTTACCCTGCCATCCCCCAACTCTTAGCCACCCATGTGAGAACACGCTGCCCTACGCTGCAGCCCAGCAGGAGAGGGACCCACAGCTTCTGATGGCCTCCATCCCACACCAACAAGACCTGGCCCATAGCCCACCGAAATGCCCTCTTGTGTGTGGTGGCCAGAGCTCTTGCTGGCCCTACGGTCACCTGCCATCCATCTGTTCATCCATTTGTCCATCCATCCATCCATTTCCTTGTCCATCCATCGACTGATCTTCTATTCATCTGTCCACCCGTCCTTCCATCTGTTTGTACCTTATCAGCTGAAAGCCTATTATGAGCCATTTCTGTACATGGAAATTGGACTCCATAATGTCAAGTGAAATGGACTGGCCCTGTGCTCTGGGCCAGACACATGTGATATTCACCACCCACTAGGCATCCCCAAGGCCTTGCAAAGTCCATGGAGAACCCTGTCGTCAGCTTCCCAGTGGCCAGCCCAGGTGTCACCCCAGGTCCCTGAAATGCAATGGACAGGATCTCAGTCACTGTGTCCACTCCCCACGCATGTCTAGGAGAAGCGAGTACAGGAAGGCAGGAGGCTATGGTTGGGACTGGCACTGGGGCTAGCTGGGTGTGGGGTTTCAACAGGGCCACTTCTCCAGTGCCCCCTAACTGCAAATGGCTCCCACAGGTTGGCTAGGTGCTCCATGTGCACATCCGGCCTGGGGTGAGGTGGGCTACTGCACCCAGCTCCACAGCCTCCCCGATCCTGCTGCAGCGCTCTACAAAATGGGAGTACTAACTGGCGGCTGGGGCTGTCCATGCCTGTGGGCGGCCATCGAAGAGCCACCTGCCTGGGTAGACCCTCACCGATGGTACCAGGTGCACCGATGGTTCTGAGGCTGGCTGCCTGCACCCTCCTGTTTGGCCCCGCCCTGGCCCTTCAGCCAGCACCTCTGTACCTCTGCTCAGGCAGGGACAGACCTGGGCGCCCCACCCTTCTCTCCCTGATTTGGACTCATGCTCCCGCCTGGTGGATCTATGGGGTGTGTCTGTTCAGGAAGGTGAGACTCCATCGGTCCTCATAGCTGTGCTGATGGATGAGAGGATGGGGGCTGGATAGAGAGGAGAGGAGGGTGAGGGTGGCATACACAGGGCTCAGGTGACTCCCTCACACTCTGTGAAACTTGATACCCCTGTCCACTTGGTGCTCTGCTCACAGTCAGGGGCAGGGGTGGTAATGAAGGGATCGGGGATGGAGGGATGCAGAGCATGTAACCTTCCACGAGTGTGGGGGCAGTGCTGACGCTCAGTGCACGGCTTGGGACCGGCCAGGCCCACTTCAAGCTTCAGCTCTGTGCTTGCTTTGTCCTCTCTGAGCCTCCACCTTCTTATCTGTAAAATGGTCCCGGCTACACTAGAGTGCCTAGAAGGATGAAGGATGACTCTTGGCTTGGTGCCTGGCCTGAATTGCCCTCAGGAAATGCCAACAGGTAGTGACCAGGCTCCATTCAGCCCAGGCTGTCCCCTGACATCAGTCACCATAGATCTAGACAACCCTTCTGCCACCTTGTCCCTGGGTCCACCTTCAAGAACAGGAGAGCCTGGGCCCAGAGGAAACTTACAGTTTATCTGCCTTTAGAAAGGAAGCCCTCGCTGCCAAGGAGCCCTCGCTGCTGTTGGCAGGGTGAGGGACTCGGAAATCTTGAACTCTGGACTGGACCATCCTTCCCTGAAGGGCCATCGAGGCTGCCCAGCCCTTCTGCAGGGGCCTGTTGACTCTCACTGGAGCAAGGGCTGCTGGGAGATTAGCGGCTTCTCTATGCTGTGGGAGTTCCCAGGCACCGCCTTGCTCTGGACCCCACACCTGGATGGCAGAGCGAAGGCCCCAGAGTGGGTGGCTTGGGGAGCTCGGGAGGAGGGAAAGGGGCCGGTGGATGTGTCTTACCCAGAGTGGTCTTTCCTTCACCTGGTCTCTGCCTAGACAGCGTCTCCCTGGTCTGGAGGGGGGCGGTGGGGGCAAATGGCTGCTCCTGAGATCCCCACAGCGGGCAGGGGAGCCCGCTGTGTGACAGGTCCATGGCACTCTGGTCTGCAGGAGGTGGCCACAGGGAAGCCCGAGTCCTGCCCCATAGGCTTCCCTGGGCAACATGTGTTCCTTGGGTGCTTTCAGGGGCCCACCTGCTCTAGGAGACTCTGCCAGGGTCAGAGCCAGGGCCCAAGCCTGTGCTCCACTTGGCCCACTCACAGGGGCAGGCCCTGGCCTGGAAGGGGGCTCCTGGTGGCTCCAGGGCTCCAGCCCTCTCCAAGTCTGCACGGGGCCTCACCACCCGCCCTGGCCTCTGGGCTGAATCTTTGTCCTTAACTGCCTGCTCTGACCTTGGTCACTGTCACCTAGAGTGACAGGATAAAAGCTCCATAAGGTGCCAGTTACCGAGAGTCGAGCTTGAGCTTTGCCCCAGTGGTTTTGTCTAATTGTCTGGAGGCGGATTCGAAGGCTCCACATTCAAGGCTCAGAGAGGTCAAATCACCTCCCCAAGGCCACAAAGCCGGACGGTGCAGACAGGAAGCTGCCTGGCAGTGTCAGGCCCAGAGCCCTGTCACCAGGATGGGCAGACAGGAGCTGGGACCCTTCCCCGGGAATGATCTCCCCTCCCCCGAGCCGGGCAACAGCCCTTCAAAGATTGCAGGCGGTGGGCTTGGGGGAGCCCCCAGCCCCAGCTGCCTCTCCCCCGCGCTGCTGGTGAGGTAATAAGCTATGCGTGTAGTGTAGAAACAGAACATGTTCTGCAAAACAAATGGTGCTAATTTGCAGTGTGCTCCGCAGCCTGGCATCACTGAGCGCCTAGAGGGCGGGGGCAGCAGCTGCACCAGGATTGACAGCCGTGTGTGTGTGGCGAATTAGCAGGGCCATGCATCACCATCAGAGGCGCAAAGCACCCCATACCCTGACTCCGGGCAGCCCTGCACCTCCCGGGAGGAGGCTGCTTCTGGGGAGGAGAGCAGAGCGACTTTCCAACCCCTCTCCCCGCCCAGAGGTCCCTGCTCAGAGTGATCAATGCCCACCCAACAGCACCACTGGGGTGCAGTGTGGGGTCAGGTGTGTGGTCTGGTGTGGCAGCCATTGGATCCCTTCTTCCAGACCCATGTCACACCTGGTAGCATCAGACTAGTGGGCAGCCTTGGCCTTTCTCAGCATCAGATCACTGGCTCCAGAAGTGAATTCTGCCTTGGACACTGCACTCTTAGGCCCCCTCCCCCTGACACCCCACCTCCTCTGTCACCCAAGGCTCAAGCTCCTGGCCCCTCCCAAGGCCTCCCCACGGGGCCCAGTGAACCCTCTTGCCTGTTTGTTATATTTATTTATTACTCACTGGTGCTGCCCAGAGCTCCAGGTCCTATTGATCCGCAGTGATGCTGGCTGCTCCTGGGCAATCCTTCTTCCTTGACTCCCCACCCCCATTCGTCTGCCTGTCTGCCTTGGGTGTGAGGGGGAGCTGATCGCACATCACGCCTCAGGGGAGAGCCCAGCCACTTCGTTGCCTTCAATGGGTTCTTACTGTCCCCCATCCACCCCTGTTGGGCTGGCCACTGGTGGGGCCTTTGTGCTTCTGCTCGCCTTCCTGACCCTCCTAACTCTGGAAATCTAGGCTATTCCTGGGATAAGCAGAAAAAGGCAGCTGCACAGGGCGGAGTGTTTGTCTGCCCTGCTGGTTCTCACTGGATCTGAGGGCCAAGGAGCCCCGCATGTACAGATGGCATCGTCCCTGCCTTCTTGTCTTGCTTTCGCGGTGTCCCTCACGTCCCTTCTCCCTGGAGAGGAGGGTCACTCTGGAACTCTACCTCTCTCGGGAACCCAACCCCACTCTTTTCCCTGAGGTCAATGCTGGGCACCCAGGGCCTTCAGTCAGTGCTATGGAGGGAGGGACAGATGGACATGTTAACGAACAGGGTCCTGGACTCCGAATTTTAACAAGAAAGGATTTTGGAGAGTATCTAGCCCAACAGTCCTATAGCACAGATGGGGGAAACTGAGGCCAGCAGCGAAGAAGCCTCGTTCTCTGTGACTACCAGTGTGTCTAGCAGAACAGGGCGCCTAATCAGTCGCCTCACAGGCTACTCTGTGGGCGGATCCCTGGCGTGCTGCGTTGAGGACCAGGAGCCATGGTTGCTACAGAGTCCAGCACAAGGTGCTGTCTTGTAGGGGCTTGGAGACAAGCTGGGGAGACCCTCTCAGACTCCAGGACATTAAATGCCATATGTAGCATTACAAGGCTTCTCCGGAGAAGTGGGCTAGGGAATGGGGGGAGGGGACAAGGCCTGGGCTGGGGTATTTGGTGGGCAGCTTGGCCCAGGGTGGGTGACTGAGGGGGAGGTGGGGGGAGACTTGTGGGATCATCCCCTTTGGGTAAGGCTGCTGAGGGAATGTGAGAGGAGGCTGCACGGATGGGTCAGGAGGCCTGGGACTGATGGGCAGGGAGCTCTGGCTTTATGGGCAGAGGAAGGATGGGGCCCTTTAAGGAGAGAGAGAGAGAGAGAGAGAGAG